AATATTCAACATTGCTTCAATAAAACTTAAAAAAAGTATTTTTTGTGCAAAGTGGTAACATGAACAACACCCTGAGAGGAAAAACAAAGGTTTGTTGATTAAGAATAAATCTCCATCAAAAACCTGTCCATTATGCTAACATCTGAGCATGCCCCCCACCTCCACCTCTCCTCCATTCAGTCAAGCCGCCCCACCTGCAATGGCACTGCCTTTAAAGAAATGTTAGCATCACTGGTTTTCCTGACCAGTTAGCTGAAGCGATGAGCTAATATTGCCTTGCTCCTCTGTGTGAAGTATTTTCAATTTTAGTAAATCATAACCCATCTAACTCCACAATTCTACATGTTTTTGTTTTTCAGTACACGGCATCAGTTGAAGAAAATAAAGTAAACGCTGTAGTTGTTCGAATGTCAGTGACAGACGGTGATGACCCACACACTCCAGCCTGGAACGCCAAGTTCAAGATTGTTGATGGAGATCCTGGAAACCTTTTCAATGTAACAACAGGAAGTAACAAACAAGAAGGAATCATTACTACTGTCCAGGTAGCAACATAACAAGGTTCTCAGTGGAATAATGATAGAAATGCTTATTGCTATATTCATATAATTGATTTAGTCATTGTTTTTAAATGATTGTACAGGTAATTTCAGAGATATTTTATAACCTTTTTTAAATCAAAATGATTTGAGTAAATGTATATAATATAGGTTATATATGAGCTGCAGATTGATCTGTTTGTCTGATCAGATGTTTTTTCTTTAACCAGGGTCTTGACTTTGAAAAAGTCAGCAAACACACTCTGCTGGTTGCAGCGGTGAATGACATTGAGTTTGCTGTTCCTCTGACCACTTATACAGCTACAGTAATAATAAATGTGCAGGACGTCAATGAACCTCCAATCTTTGATCCAAAAGAAGTGTCTCTGTCCAAAAGTGAGGACGTTGCAGTTGGCAGTGAGCTGATGGTTTACACTGCTTCTGATCCAGACACGGCACGCAAACAGAAAGTCATGTAAGTGAACTGATTCTAACAAAGTGAGTTTGTCGCATAGAACAAATAAATAAATGTTGGTGGTGATTTGGATCACCTGTGCTGACTTTTGGGCAGTGTGGACAATCCTGGTCCTTGAGGGCGGCTATCCTGCATGATTTAGAGGTTTCTCTGCTCCAACACACCTGATTTGAAAGGCAGAACTTGAGAACCAATCACTGAATCAGGTGTGTTGAATCAGAGGAACAAATAAAACAGGCATGACAGCGGCCCTCGACCAGGATTGCCCACCCCTGCTCTAGCGTCTTGGTGGACGTGTTTTTTTTAGATCACTTCCACCCAAAATCTTGAGTGGTCCTGACGAAGTTTACATCTCGAATGATTAAAATGGTTTGGATAGGCTGATAGTGATCATTTTGTTCTTGGATGATTAAGTGAACTTCTTGTCGATTTTTACACCATGGACGACATCAGTGAAACTGACCTTTCACCCCACTGCAGTCATTTAGTCCTGATGAAAATTTTCAGAACTGTGGCTTTGGATTTTGATAACCCTGACAATTTTTTATTATGCTTTAGGAACCACTGGCAGTACTGTTTTGTTGTTTGTTTTTTGTCAGCAGATTGAACAGCCATCACATTGTGCTTCATAATGATGCTCAGACCTGATAGTAATCAACTCACCTTTCTTTCTTGTGAATACCCAGGTATAAAATATTGCGTGATCCAGCAGGCTGGCTGGAAGTACAGAAGGACACAGGGTTGATTAAAGTGAAAAGTGAAATGGACCGGGAGTCCCCCTTGGTCCAGGACAACAAATACACAGCTCTTATTGGCGCTTATGATGACGGTAGGTGTGAGGGCTCACTGATTTGTTCTGCAGACGTTTAGGAGAATGTAACATGAAATAAAACATTAAAACTTGTAAGTATTTTTAGTTCAAAGCTAACCTAAATATAGAAAAAACAAGAAGCGTAAAGTTCTTATTATCATTTCATACGGTCTCATTGATGGAGGCTTCAGAACATCTTTAGAAGCAGAAATGTTTTGTCTTTTTTTTTTAATTGAGTAAGGAAATCTTTCCCAGAATTCTTTTTACTTGGCTCTAAAGATGAATGTTTGTTCTCATCAGATCAAGTCCCTGCCACAGGAACTGGAACTCTTTTCATTACACTTCAGGACGTCAACGACAACGCTCCAACCATCGAGGAACGGGAGTTCACGGTACGACTTAAGCCTGAAACATACTCGCTCCGACGCCGACAGGTCGACGCACGGTCACGTGGTTGTTCGGCAGTCGTTTTCGCACAGACCTTTCATAGTCCCTACGACACCCCTGCGCCGAGTTCGGGAAACCCCCCTCCCTGAAACATACGTAACTGCATGGAGTTCCCCCGCAACAGATAATGCAGAAAAAAAAAGTCAGACTCTTAACTCACCCAACGCATTTCTCCACATCTGTCCTGGTTAAAGCTCCACAGTTTTTATCAGTCAGATTCCTCCGTGCACAACGTCTGTTTTATCTCCATTCATGAGTTTTTCACTGAATGACTATCTTTATAAAACTCTACTTCCTGGTGTCGGCTCTGGGAGCGAGTCAGGCCCCCCCCCCCCCYTTTTTTTTTTTTTTTTTTTTACCGAGTGCAGAAGCGCATTCAGCACAAACAAACAAGCCATACGTTTTTCACGGTTTGACTATCTTATAAAACTCTGCTTTCTAGTCTGGGAGCGAGTCGTCCCCCCACCACCCCCCCCAACCCCGAGCGCAGCACAAACAAACACGCCCATGACCAATCAGACTAATCACACATCACCGTTGACACGGGAGGGGGGTCAAAAAGTTCTGCCGGTGGGTTGTGCCAGAAAAGGTTGTCGACACAACGCTGAGAAGCCCGGTAATGTAATTTTCATCATTAAACTGTGACAACCCATGCCAGCGTCGGCAGTTCACAGCGAGTATGTTTCAGGCTTTACTCCATATCTGACCACTTCTCAAAGAATATTTCTAAAGCAGATAAATCTCATGCATTTGTGATGCTTTTATTAGTGTGTTATTAAATTTTCTTACGTTCTAAATGGGATGCAATCTGGCCACATAAGTGACAACTTTTAGAATAATCAATGTTTTAACAATTGTGTTTAAAAATTGTATTTTTTTTTCCCACAGATATGTAACAAGAACCCAGTTCCTCAGCTGCTCTCTGTAACAGATAAAGATGGACCAGGCTTCACTTCTCCATACAGCGTCACTTTAGGGGACACTGCAAAATCTAACTGGACTGCTAAAATGAACGGCACCAGTATGTATACAGTTCATTAATTCATATCTGATGAATAATAAAACATTTTTGGTCTTAAAGAATCTGGTTTTACTTTACATGAATCAGTGTTATCCAGTCAAAACGCTTTTATAGATAAATCAGTTAAGCCATTTAAATTGTGTAAATTCATAAAATCCTGCTGCAAAAGTTTGTTTTTTTCCCCACAGATTTTAGTTTTCTGAGATGTGCTTAGAAGAGATAAAGATGATAAATGTGTCAAAGTATAAAACAAATTTTGTCATCAACTCTTTTTTTTCTTTTGACCTGCAGGAACGGGCATCATCCTGAATTTAAAAACAGAACTTGAGCGTGGAGTGTACTCTGTGGCTTTGATTGTTGCAGACAGCCAGGGTTATGGTCAGACCAACACAATCACAGCCACAGTTTGTGACTGCAGTGGAGACGACAATATGTGTGATCGTGCTCCTGTTGTTGCTGGCAGTAATCTGCCGGTCATCCTGGGAATACTTGGTGCTATCCTGCTGCTGCTAAGTGAGTTACATGTATTTTTGCATTTTAAAATAATTGGGTAGTTCTTAAAAATCCAGGGACACAGAGTGGGAGTTAGTTTGTAAGTCAAAGGAACAATTCAAATTACTTTGGGAACTTGTAAATGACTGAAGATATTAAATGTTTGTCTGGTGATTTCAGAACAATGTGGACGTGGAGATTTGCTTTACCTTTTGTAGCATCACATTGTCCTTTCCTTCTTTATAATTTTTGTTGTCCTGATGGCAGTGGATAAATAATAGGTTTGTGCTTGTTTTGTCTTGTTAAAGTGGTGGTGTTGCTGTTGCTGTTCGCGAGGAAGGGTAAACAAAAGAAAGGACCTCCTCTACTGCAAGATGACGACGACGACACCAGAGACAACATATACAACTATGCTGAAGAGGGAGGTGGAGAGGAGGATCAGGTAAACTGGGATGCTGACTGACTCAGAATATGTTCAGTGATATATTTTTCTTGTTATCAAGTCGCTGAAAATTCAAGTACAATTCAAGATTAAAGTATTAAACTGGTCTGGTGACTGGAGGTGAATATTTTGACTGTGAAGTAACTGAACCATAATATGACCTGTTAAAAAAATGTATTTATATTAATCTCTCTCTCCATCAGGAGTATAATCTGGGTACTCTCCATCTTGGTCTGGACAACCGACCCATGGTGATCAGGGATGACGTAGCTCCAATGTTTATGCCAGCTCCTCAGTACAAGCCTCGACCTGCCAACCCAGATGACATTGGCAACTTTATTGTTGATGTGAGTGACAAACCTAATAAAAATTGTTTAAGTGTTAATAACTTATGTACTATTGTATGATTTCTAATAATAATGATGATAATGACAGTCTAAAAAATACTTGGTATAAAAATGTGTAAATCTCCCCCTCAGAACTTGAAGGCAGCCGACAACGACCCCACGGCCCCGCCCTACGACTCCTTGTTGGTGTTTGACTACGAGGGAGGAGGCTCTGAGGCAGGAAGTCTCTCCTCTCTGAACTCATCCAAGAGTGGGGATCAGGACTACAACTGTCTCAACGAATGGGGACCCCGCTTCAAGAAACTGGCGGACATGTACGGAGGAGGAGAGGATGATGATATGTTGTAGACAAACCACAAAAAGAAGTGCTGTGAAGAAAAGTCTGTATATTGAGTCTATTAAGAAAATCCCAGAGACAAATTTCAGCGAGACGAATGTTTGGTTTTTCTTTAGATCAGTCCCACMGGTAGTAAACAGCCACAGCTCAGAAGCCAAAAGGATTTTATTTACTTCTTTTTTATGTTTAGGCTGAAGGCTTTAGCTTTGTTTTACTGCAATGCATTGCCACTGTGCAAAAACGTCATCTGCTTTGTTTCCTGCTGCAGTTGTATCATTTGTATAAAATGGGAAAAACATAACTTTTAGTACTTTTTGACATTTGTACTACTTTTTTACCTATGATTTTTTTTCCCTGTTAAGGATTTAGTGAATATTTAGATAATGCAGATAACCAGCCAATGTTATGTCACCCTTTGTCATTGGCTGGCTGATGAGTTATTAAATGTTTTATTACAGTATGTTTAGCTTCTGTTAAACCATGTACTCTGTCAACAACCCTTTACTACATGTTTGTTTTAAATCTGACTTTTTTTAAACTACAAAGTTTTCTTAAGCTGTATTTTTAGTTTAAATACAATAAAAACAAAAATCTAAAGTTTGATTTTAACATTGTTTGACTGGAAGTCCAGTTTCAGCAAGCAAAACATTATACTCTGCTCATTTGACAGCTGACTCATCAGTTTACATTTTACATTGATGCATCGTACAGAGGAGGAGGATTATTTAAGGGTGGCCATAAAGCATGATTAATAATTTACAGCAAAACCTTAGCTTGTCTTTTTTTTGTACAGAAGTGAAACTTAAGGTGGAGTCAAAGTTTTTTGTAGATTTGCTGGAAGTTTGTCTAACCCAACTAGTTAGCGATTGTGTACTGTAAATGTCCAGGGGGACGGTGTTGATGTAAATTTGTTTTTGACTGACAGTTACCTGGTCAGTTTATTTGCAACAGGTGAGACAGTTACAAACTGTCTCACTTGATGAACTTCTGATGATAAAAACAGCCTTTACACTCTGGAAGATGGTTTGCATGATTCATGCAGACAGCACACCAGGCCTGTGGTCTTCATGTCTGCCCTGAAGAAGAGGATCAAACCCAACCACTCCCAATGAGCAGTGAGCTGGTCTCCCTGCTGTTACCAACCAGGTGTCTTTCTGGTCCAATGGTTCTTTTCCCACCTGGAAAAATCTGCGTGAGTCATGTTCCTCTGGTGCGTACGCCATGTAAATGAAGACTTTTTAATCGTTCTTTGGGTCTGCCTGCCTGCATCTCCGGTCCAACCTCGCCTACTAAACCTGCCCGCTCCTTCAGTAGTGTTTGGATGATTTTGTGATAATGGATGAATTAAACCTTTGTGCCCTTTAGTGTTAGTGCTGACGGTTCTGTTGGCAAGGTGGAGAAGACGAGCAAAGCACCCGCCTCCACCTGAATATCAATACCAGAATACAGTATACCAGAGACAACATCATGATGAAGAGGAAGGTGGAGAAAATCAGTTATAGATGACTTGGGCCGTCTGTACTTATATTGAATTGTTTTACTCTTTGTATAAAACAATAGTTATGCGTTATCAGTCAACCTGAGATGTTCAAGAATGAAGTGGATCCAGTTTTCTGACCAACACCTCAGGGAGAACTTCACCCCACCAACACCTTCACTGTAATGCATAAGAAAACATGAAGCGGTGGAGATCAGGGTTGTGTTGGGGTCACCTCAGTTTCCTTGATTATTTCACTCGAGGTGACCCCTACAGTTGTGTCTTTCTTAAAAAATTGGTCATTCATTCCCTTCAACAAACCAGCTGGTATACGCTGGTCTTCAGGGAGGGTGGGGTGGGATTGTGTTGCCTGAAATGGTAGGGTAAACACTGCTTTATGTAAAAGCAAAAGTGTTATCTTTTACTCTTTTAAATTTGTTTATTTGTATTAAATCACAAGTTTAAAATTAATTTAAAATCTACACTGCAAATATTACCTAACCAAGTATCCAGCCAAAATGTATTTTTGATCTTGTGACTGGTGTACTAAGCAAAAGTAGAATATTTTAGATTATTGATCTTGTTAGCCTGCGCTGGGAGTGAATTCATTGGTGATCCGGACTGAAGTCACCCACGGGCCGCTAGCTGAATGTCCTAAATTATATCCTGTATTTAATTGTTATTCATTTGCCTTTATATGTATTCTTTATCACATTTTAGTAATTTTGACTCCATAAAGTTATGTTTTAACAGAAGATTTGTGAATATGTTTTTTATTTTACTTAAAGTAGAGACTGAATCTAAAGTCACAGGACACCTTTTCATGTTGATCCAATATGGAGGCTTTCAAGATGACGGCCATGTTCTTGACATAGACTAAAAGATAGACCACTCAACCATTACTTGCTGGAGTGTTCAGATATTTTACATTTTCTTTCTGAAATGAGTGTCCTGAGTCTTTTGACTCACCCTGTGTAATGCACAAGGTAAATTAGAGTAGTTGAAATGTATATGGTCTCTCACAAAACAATTCACGGTGTTTCATTTTCAGGGTTTTAGTCTAAATAGCAGCCTAATGATCTCCTACAGAGAAGTCACTGAGTGTAAAGTTACACTAAAATGTACAAGTTCTAAAATAGTTTTTCTTCTTCTTTGTTATATTGTTTGTAAAATTTCAAAACATTTTGCTCTCCAATATACTGTATTTCCAAGCAGAACTTCAGATGTGTTATTGTTAATACCATAATCTGTGAAAAAGTACTGTAACATCTAATATCAGTCATGTTTACGATTAATTTTAGTGCTGTATAGTGTTCACACCCATTTCACCTCACCACATCTCGTCTCGCCATGGTTGACCTTTGACCACTTGAGGTCAAAGTTAAATTCTCTCAGACTGAACTGTTTCAGCTCTCATGGAGAGCTATCAAAAAAAAAAGCCTTTTCACTGTCTCTTCTTTCCCCTGGGAAAGTTCTTGTTCTCAAGAAGTCTGTTATTTTGCTGATGAAAACAAATCAAAACAAACATTCTGTCTGTTACTGTTGTTCTTTCAACATGTATGATTCAAATGCATAAACCCTTTAAAATGGGTTTGACTTTTGTCTTTAATTTTTAAGGGCTCTCTAGTCATTTTATAACTTTGCATTTGTGTTAGTTATGTTTAGAACATGTTTTAGAAATTATGATTTAGTATTCACAGGATGTATGCTTATATTTTGTCTTTTTACATCTTCTGTTTTTAATAAGCATTACTTAATCATTTTATTAATTTAACAATGTTTATTAGTTTACTAAGAATAGTTCATACTTAATCATTAGTGAATTGAAATATTAATCTAATGTTCTTTGAGTTGATTTACTATGTTCATACAGCACGTTTGTGTGTCATTTTGATGTTGTTCAACCTTGGGTCTCCACAATACAAAGACACATACACACACATGATTTGGTTCTCGTGAGAACTCACTGACCACCTGCAGATAACACCCGTACACACAATTCTTCCTGGTTCATTAAAACTTCTCCGTTACTTCGTGTTCATCAGTCTTGTCTGCTTTGCCCTGCTGGGCCTGACGCTGGTCGTCTGCCCAGCTGCCTCGTGCTTTTTCTCTACTGGAAACCTTGCAGCATATTTTTGCCTTTTTCTTACAAGGAAATACCACTTTTTGTGTCAGGCTGTTCCGCCTGAAACCTGAAACCAACATCCTCGCTGTGAACTCTCCAAAGTTCCTGGTGGACCCTGCCGGTTCTGACCCACTGCCACGTTGCTGAAAGACCTAGCCCCATATACAGTATATATATATATATATATATTAGCATTTTCTTTACATTATTGATCATGACCTGGATGACTGAGAATCTTCACCTGCGTTGTAAATATAAAACTTGGCAGTAGGCTATCTCTAGTTGGTGAACCTGTTGCCTCTCATCAAGTAGGGTCAAATCCCATTCTTGGACCTTTCTGGACACTACATGTTTTCCTTGTGAGTTTCCTCTCACAGTCCAATAACCATGCGGTGCATAAAACACAGTGGTTGCTAAGGGGATTGGTGCTTTCAATTTAATAACCTGGGACATTTCACACAGGTGGTGCACAAACATAAAAAACACATTGCWTTGGGGCAGGATGAACAATGAATCATTAATTATTTACAGGCTTAAATAAAAAATGAGAAAACACAAACAAAATCAAAACCTGACAACAATACAGAGAACAATAACTTCTTTCTAACTTTTTATCATAGTACCAGCAAGAAATTAATACTTTCACCCTGCATATTGAAACCCTTTCAGTCTGACACAGGTTTTATAAAGTAGGATGTAGGATGGAGGCAGTCATTTAGTCTAGTGTAAAATGCCGACAACAGGAGCCTCGCCCCCTCACCAAAAAATAAAAATCTTACTTTTTTTGAAAAGTTGGCAGTCCTGATTTTACATATTGAGTTAAAATTTCATGTAGTAGTCACTGAGGCTGATTTGTGATGGGGTCACTCCCCAAAATGGTGTCGCCAAATATTTTTAACTTGTTTCAATGCTCCCCCCCCCCCCCCAAGGTTATGTCTTTAAACACACATTACCACAAATACAACATGTAGTAGTGTCACAGTGTGTCATAGTGTTGATATAATATGATGTTTTTGCTTTTATCCTCATCTTCACTTCCCTTGTGTTTTTCAGTTTTTCTTTGTTTCTAAGTTGGCGCCATGCAGGCAGCCTGTTACTGCAACTCCACTGTTTTGAGCTGCTGTAATGTTCAAATTTCCCCACTGTGGGATCAATACAGTTCTATCTTATCTTATGTAGCAAATTGATAAGTTGAAGCATAAACTAATGTATTTCACTCAGGAATGCACACATTCAGTGAGAACACCAGTTGAATTCTGCTATACAGTATATGTAAATAAAACTCTGGTATTAATTTGCACTATTTTTTCAACATCATCTGCGTGCGCAAGAAGAAATCTCTAAGTTCAACTTAATGATTTTTGTTAGGTCTTGAACTTATGCTTAAGATGAAAATTTGTCATTAAGAAAAATCTGATAAAAATGACTTAACTTCAAATATTCCTTTCAGTAGATATAAAAAGGCCATACTACACACTCTTGTCAGAATGATGGAATTTTGTGATGTAAAAAAATGACCACRACGATTCTTTTCAATCATTTTCCTACCTCGCTGTGACATATTTCCTAAAATATCTGTTGCAGGCAAATTATCTAAAACAATATTTATAAAAAGGAATAGGCTCGTTGCATAAATGTACATATGTATGATATCCAACATGTTCACCTTCAGGTTGCYTTTCCTTTTATTTGCAGCTTAATTTACACGTTTACTTATTTACATTCTCTCCAACATCCATCCTGCTTTCTGTGATCTGTGGATTTGAGCCACTCACCTGAACACATTACACATTTCTATGATATTTTCAGTCAGTTTGCTTTTTCTTTTCTAAAAGCTCTGTGTAATGTTCATCCAGGTGTGAACAGAAGTCTGAGATCCAGTGTTCTATAGTGCTCCTTAGGTTAAAAAGTCATTAAAGGGATTTATAGCAGATCACAGCTTCTTCTTCACACTCTGGAGGTCGAGATAATTTGGCCACTGAAGGGGAACCTCAAGCAGCCCAGAGTCTTCCTCAGTGAGAAGAGCCTCCTGGTCCCCTTAGTGAAAGGCCGCCTGGTCTTGGTCCTGTGGCCCCAGTCTTCATTGGTCTGGCCAAGTCAGCTGTCCTTAAGGTAAAGAGAAGGGGGKTAAAAGGTTACTTTTGTGTCAGAAATATTTGCAAACATATGTTAACTTGTGGTCACATGCATTTCACACAAAGCCAAAAATGGAAGAAGGGTCTTAAAGTGCAGTACTGCTCTGAACCACTAGGCGACACCCCTCAAACACCTCTTTAATAGTGTTCAGCGTCAGGAGCAGAGGTGGAGGTCGTGTTTACGTAGTTTGCATCTGTTTTGTTCCACTGACACTCAGTAAAATTACACACTATAACTCTATACAGTAAGTGGTGATAAGCTGCTTTAAATCGGTTCTGAAGAGAAGAAGAAGAAGAAGAAGGATTCTATGGTTCAGCACTACTGGGGGTCCATGTTTACATCCTGATTAATGATTTCAGCATGCACTCATTTAATTAAAGACCTAAGTTACAGTGTTTTAGACTTTTGGGCCATTTTAAATGAATTTATACCAAATAAACTTTATTAAATTGTTTTTAGTTTATTATAACAAATATTATTTTCAATTCAGCAAACTTACAAATACTAATAACAAGTAAAAACCTCTGTGAAAAATTTCCCAGTTATTTTCGACTAGTGTAATCCATTGTTGGAAAAACTTCAAAATTGTAGRTACACATACTCCAGTACTTTAACTCAAGTAATAAATTGACAGGGCTACTTTAYTGGAGTAATATTTGACCAGTATGATCAGTACTTTGCCTCAAGTCAAGAAACTGACTTTGTCAATATATGTAGGTAAAATTAGAGACAATAAACTAAATGTTTGTTTTGTTAGGAGTGATGATATTAAAGTCAAAAAATGGTGGAGCAAACCCATAAGTTTGGGGTTCTTGCATTATTGAGCAGGTCTTATATGTTTGGGACCACAGTCTCTTCCAGCTGTGGTAGCGTCTGACAAGGATGACAGGACACAAAYTGGCCCAGTTCATTTGGAGCTGAAACGTGATTCTCAGTTTCAGTCAGCAGTAATTCTGTTGCTTGTCTTACATTTGTTACCCCGTTCTGCGCAGGCTGGTCAGAGACATCGGGCTTGTTCTGATGACAGTCCACACTGCACCTGAAGGAAATCCCCTCATGCYGCCTGTCATTCTGATTTTCCCAACAGGCGAAACCTTTRTTTTTAGACATTTTCCTGTGAGTCCTGTATTTCATTTTGGGGAAGGTGTGGGAGCCGCTGTCCGTGACCCCCCAGCTCAGTTCAGGCCAGAGGGGCTCGGTCTGCGTGGCCTGGCTGGTGGTGGCCCTCTGCAGACGCACAGAGATCCTCTGGGCTGAWCCCGTCATTAGGGTGATGGACTGAGTGTCCAGAGCTGGACCTGCTGAAGGGACAGCTGGGAACTCGAACACGTCGTCTTCGTCTGAAGGTAAAACACAAGACATGAGTTCATTAGTTAGTTCTTGTAATWAAAAAACTCACACAGGGTCCTCGCTGTGGATAAAATGTTCTTTTCAAACCTYTTAGAAATATTTGTTTAACTTTTCTACAGTGTGAAAGGAACAAAAAAATCCCTGGGCACTCTGAGAATTGTTTTATATTTTCTTATAACTAGAATTGGAATTTCTTATAACTTCTATTTAGATCTCACACTTTTATTAATTAAATTCACAAARCCTCCTGGACAYCTCCCTGGTGAGATGTTTTGGACAYGTCCCACTGGGAGGAGGCCCAGAGGAAGACCCAGGACACGCTGGAGGGACTAYGTTTCTYRGSTGGCCTGGGAACACCTTGGGATTCCCCTRGAYGAGCWGGCCCAAGTGGSTGGGGAGAGGGAAGTCTGGGTCTCTCTGCTTAGSCTGCTGCCCCCGTGACCCGACCCMGGATAAGAGGAAGAAAACRGATGGACGGACGGACAAACCCTACAATCAGTTCATAGCCTTCATTAAGACCTACAGACGCCATTTAATTTTTTTCTAGATATTAAACCTTGTTAAAAAAAATCAATCATCATGGTTTTCTTTGCACAGCAGCTCAACCGTTTTGAATAGGGTTTCTGGAAGTTCAAAAATATATATAATACCTTTGATAGTTTTTAGTATCGAAAGCAATTTAATTCAAAATACTCTAATTATTAGCGTATTAATAAATATTCCATCAAATAAATAAATGTCCCCATGAAATAAAACAAATTCCATATATTAAAATAATTTTTTAGCATGTTTATTCATTTATTTATTTATTAAATTTGACCATATTTATTTATTTCAGAATGTATTTATATTTAAAATAAATTCATTTTAYACTGCTTTGGGGCAGAGGTGCTCTTTGTGACGAGAGCTCAGCTACAGACTGAGCTCCAGGGAGGACCTTTGTGTAAATGGGTGGTGCTTTGGCAGCTCCACATGACTACAGGAGAGTCAAAGATTACTCAAACATGCATGAATGAGTCAAAGCAACACTCTGGATATGTTTTGTTAAGGGAATGACTTTAAAACAAGATGTAAGGCTCAAAAGTGTTGATTTTGCTCTGTCTATTTAAATCACTCTTTCTCTGTCATTTGTGATGTTTATAGATTTAGAAAGTGATTTTGACCTTTACAGGTGGGCTGTGTGGGGCTGCTGGGCAGCGAGCTGTGGGCCAGTCTGGCTGGAGAGATGCTGCTTAGAGAACCTGAGCGAATCAGCTTCCTACAGGCCAGAACCAGCAGTTCTCTGCATTGTTTATGACAATTAACGCCACAGTCTGCAAGGTAAATAAAGAGCCATTAGTTTCCAGTGCAGATGAAGTGTTCAAGCATCACAACAGAAACCTAAAGTTTGTCTTGTCTAACAGCATGCAGTCCCAATGCAGCTGGAGTAAAAGAAAAGCAAAGATGCAGAAAGTCAAACTAAAGTTCAAGTCTTTTCAGAGAAGAAACCAAACTGTACCTTTACACTTGTAACCTTGTTTGATGATCCCCCACAGCTGCACAGAGAAACAAGAGCATAATGACAAACATTAAAGCCTTCAGGTAATACGGGGAAAACACAGGATCATACCATAAAACAATAGATATTCCTCTCTAGAATTGATGTGTATCCTATGTCAGTTCAATTATAATTTATTTTTATAGTAACAATTAGCATAAATACTCATTACTGATCATGGTGTTGGTGCAGGAAGAAAGCGAACAGGCAGGTGAAAACTTCAACAAATTAAAACATTTTTAGTCCTGAAATAGAAATACTATAAAAAATTAAAGTTCTCCTTTTAGAATAAAACAATCCTAAAGTCACATCTTCTGTTTCATGTAAACTTCCGTTACAAACTGTGTAAATTGATATTTTTCATGGCTTCAACTAAAGAAATACGGGGAAATGTCCTTGTGACAGGCTGTGGGTTAACAAAGAGCCTTTAAAAGATTACAAAAAGAAAAATATAAATACGAGAAAATCTTTCGCACAGTAATGCAGCTGAAACAATGAATGTGTCATGTGTAGCAGTTTTAAATTCCTGCATTGCAGAGACTGATGTCACCTCTGGACTTAAAACTATAAATATCTGACACATGCGGTGACAAGACTGAAGAGATACGCACAAATCCAGCACAATGTTCACAGAACGTGGGCTTCAGGTAGTTCATCTCCTGGAAATTGTGAATGAATCCTGGTCCCATCTTACACTGGAGAAGAGGATTAGCCCGCAGGAAATACGCTATCATCTCATCCTTACTGATTAACCCATCCCTGGAGAGAACAGAGAGAGACAAGAGAAACAAGTTACAAACTCCTCAGTCTAACCAGGAATTAAATAGTTCCTTCTGAATATTTAACATACAGGATTAAATAAAAAAACTTTTATCAACTTCATATTATCAGCAGATAGATTTGTGAATGCATCTGCTGCAGTTTTCCTGCTGAGGCAGCACAGCCGCTGAGAGCCGCCTGTGTCTCTGCGCTGTCTCCTCCATGCCCAGAAATTGTTATCTTCTTCCACAAGATCTAATTATAAAAGTTTTATTTGCCTGGCTTTATAAGCAGTCAACAGTTGTAAAGATGGCTGTATTTTCTCACAGCCTCGGCCAGCTGATCCTCAGCAGTACAGCTCAAGTGAAATGAGAGCAGAGTAGTTAAACCTTTTATTTTTTTGCTTGTACAGAGAACAAGTTCTTGGAGGTCATGCGAGGAAAAAAAACTATTTTTGTCATGCAACTACTTCAGCAAGAACAAAGACTATCTCAAAGTCTTTTATAAATCAAGTTTAAGTACCACAAAGTTAGCAATGCATCTCATCGTGCTTTGACTGCTGTCGGTTAAAACATAAAGTGATGGATTCTCAGATAAAATCATCTGGGTTATAATTCAGTTCCAAACATAGCAACTATGCTTTAAAAACTGCTGCAAATGTAATTCCATTCAGGTGCCAAGACGTCCAAGTCCATCACAGGGACACACACATAGACAAACATTCACTCTGTCACTCAGGGACAATTTAGAGTTATAAATTAACCTGACAGTCATGTTTTTGGTCTGTGGGAGGAAGCTGGAGTACCTGGAGAGAACCCACGCATGCACGGAGAGAACATGGTACTCTACCAAGGAAGGTCCCTGGGCCGGGATTTGAACCGGCAACCTTCTTGCTGAGAGGCATCAGCTCTACCAACTGAGCCACCCATTATGTGCAGTTATGTTATTTTTTACTTCCTATAAACTCTTCTTCGGTCATTCCCGTGATGTAGCAGTATTTTATCTCTGTAGTGACACGTACTTTAAGTAAACCACAGGAAGTGCAGTCAAGTCTATATTATAACTACATGCCAGCTTGCAAACTGTTCATTAATTAATCAAATGTTTTGCTAAATATGCCCTCAGTGTTAGAACTTTAATTATATTATTAAAATGTTATTAACATTTTGTAAAAAAAATATTTTTATTTTTTTGCTATTTCAATCATCTTTTTTTGTGATGCAAGGTGTTGAGAAAATACTTGTCTGTGGCATCTTGAACTAAAAATGTTTCAAACACCCTACATCGTGCACAATTCAAAAAGTGTCCTAAGCCTCATCAGACTGATTGTTATGCTGAACAATCCTTATCAATAATAATAAAAAACAAATACAGTACCAACCCTAATACTTATAGGCTTCATACTTACTGATCTTTGTCCAAAACACAGAAGGAATCAAGAAAGGGAAAGTTAGCTGCAATGCTCTCAAAGTCTTCCTGGGAAATGTAACCATCATGGTCGTGGTCATAATTCCTAAAGACAGACTATCAGAAGATAAAGAAGATGTGTTAATCATAAAGGCATCTCTTAAATCTGCAGTTCAAAAGAAATATTTGAAAAAGGGCTCTCACTTCCACCACCTTCCGGATGTGTTTATTGACCACAGAGGGATCTGGTTTGGTGGTGACGCCAGAGGCCCAGTCCAGAGGGGCCAAAGGCTTGTTAGGAGTAGTTGGAGAGGTAGGCTGTGAAGACAGTCACATATAAAAAAGTTGTTTCATTATGAAATTCATCCATTTGTGACCTGACAGTGATCATTATTTTATCTGAATTGTACCTGAGATTTGGAGTTACGAGGTTCCCTCAGCAACGACAGCTCATAAATCTCATCTTCTGTATAATAAAGGTCAAGAGAAAGCTGAAAAATACAAGTAATCAGAATAAATGATCAGTAGCTTATTGTTTGTTTAATCACAATTGAAGGAAATTCTAATGGAGTTAAACAGAGTTAGACTGCAACTATTATTTTTAATTCAGAATATTTATGGTCAGTTTGTAGATGATCATTTGTCCATAAGTTAAAATCTGATAGATCCAACCTTTGTCGCTGTGATGGAGGAAGTAATAATCTAAATTTGTTGTCGAAGTACTTCCCATTTAGTTTGTGGATAAAACCCATAAAAGCCTGATGGTGCTTATGAATATTGAGATAAATGTGTCAGACTGTGCGTGTAAATATATTTGACTATAAAACTATTTTCTCCCCTCCAGACACTACTTGAGTCGATCCCTCACCGTCAGCAGGTAGATGAGGTCCATGTTGGGCTCCACCTGGGCCACTGCACTCTGCAGTGACACCAGCTCATTGAAGGTCATGTAGAGCTGATGCATCTTCACGAGGTTCACCTGATTGCTCTTACCGACCCAGTCCGGAAAGACCACGTGAACTGCAATCAGGTCCTTGAGGTGCACGCCCAGAATGGGGATTTTAAACCTCCGGCACTCAGAGAAGGCCTTTCGGTAGTTTGAGTAGTTGTTGCTGGAGGAGACCAGCTCAGTCATCTCGTTCCAGATCTTTGATGGAAAATAGAAAACATTGAGAACTAGACATGGGTTTTTACGATGTAAAAACAAGTGTGCATTGCAATGCAGCATGAACTGTGACCAAGTTCAATTTTGTTTTCTATACCAGCTTCTGCCTGTCACATCAGCAAATGTTTGAAATTAAGGTGACAATATGAAGTTTGAAGAGATTTTTTGTTAAAGTTGCTTTAGCTGGGTTTTGAACCCTGATCTCCCACATGAAAGTCCATGGCATAGACCATTAGACCAATGGAGCTGTGGCAGAGGGTGGTGCCAGRGRTTGRTTTRTATGTGTGCAGAAAGAGGCCACATTGCCAATGCAATCTTTGACACTAAACTGCAATATATTGCAACAATTGGACAATATTAAGACAGTACTACAGTAAAACATCAAAATAAAATCATATTAATATTGTAATCACTGRACTACTGAGTTTAAATATTATDAAACTATGGTGCAGTACCATATTGTGTAGATGCAGCAGGGGGCAGTATTGGACCAATACAAGGCTCCATTGACTGCCATTATAATTTATTAAACATTAATATTTCAAAAACTATAAGTTTTACAGGCACCAAAAGGCATAGACATCATTTGGCACAGGAGCTTTACAGATATAAATTACAATGGCAGCTGTAGGACAATGTATGCAGGAGGAGAAGCGTGCCAAAGTTGGGATGACTTGGATGGGAAACGAATCACAATAGTGTGCATTGCATTGGCAATGCACACGGATAATCTAGTGTTTTAAAATAAATTGTTATGTTTTTAACTTAAAAACAGAGCACCTTCTACTTAAAGGGGCAATATCATGTAAAATCAACTTTTTTGAGTTTTATTTCATGTTATAATGTTATACTCTCATAAAAAAAACATGCCCAAAGCCTTGCTTTGACTCATTCGTGCTTGTTTGAGAAATCCTGCAGCGTTTTTACGCAGCCATGCAGAGGAGCAAAACGACATGGGGACCAGAAACGCCTTTTGGGACACCCCTGGGGTGTGTCTCCAAGCCGAGCAGAGCATGCTCATGGCAGAGCGCCCCCTCCCCATCCYCACACACCCTGCCCATGACTCCTGCAGGCTCTCGGCAGTAACAGAGCAAAGTGAAAGTGAAACTTAAAACTGTCTGCTGCGCTCAACACTACTACTCAGTGAAGCTCTTTTCTGATTCAAAATACCTTTGAGGAAATGTATTTTCAGATGCCAAGTAAACTGCATCATGTGCGCACGTGTAAAAAATGTTAACCTAATGATCACAGCATGTATCTGCACAGTTTAGTTCAACTGACTGAATTAATGAATGCTTTTAATCCTGAGTCTTGTTGTATAATTAAAGAACGTGTGATCAGTCTGTACCTCAAACTCTGTGGATTGAATTTAATTTGAATCATTTTCATTTGTCTGATGTAAATCAATGTTGCTGAAACTCAGCTTCTCTGTAAACAAACCACAGTTGAAATGAGTTGTTATTGTGAATAAAGGTGTAACTAAAAGCAGTACCTTCACAACCTCTGGAGCGAGGTGAGTGTGAGTTTCCTTCAGTCGAGAAATGGAGCTGTGACTCAGTCCTCCCACCACCGCCATTAGAGTGTTGAAGTTCTGCAGGTGCAGGAGTTTCTGATAACACAGAGATTTATCAAATGTTAATTTTTCTTATTTTGTACTGTTAGTCCAAATGGTGTCATTTTCTTTACCACCTTCTAATAAAAGCACAACGATGCTCTGAAAATATTACAGTTTATTTCAAAACATAAAGTTTGAAATGAAAATCTTGAAAGACATAGGTGAGCCATCGCATCAAACTGAAGATTGAGTCAAATTTGATCAAAATGACCTCAGCACATTTTCTGATTCCAGTCTTTTAAGCTACATTTTGATAAAATGGTCATCCTGATATCATGACCAGGCCCAGAGATATGAATTGATTTGTCTTCCTAATCAGGATAACTCATTGATATTTGTTCTGATTCCTATTTTTAGGTTATTCTAATGAGGAATTTTGGATGTCATTTTAAAGAGGAAACCTCAAACAAATTTTGAACATTAGGATTTACCAGCTGGAAAGAAAAAAACTGCTAGTTCGAAGGGAAAATGACAAATTTTTGAGGCTTTTCTCCTCAAAATCGTGTTTTTGTGGATACTGGTCAAAAAAGGGTTTTAAAAACATTATATTTAAGATATTACATTAAAAAAACATAAATAAGATTTTTTTTCCCTAGTATACTTTAACAAAATGCAACAGACGTTTTACCAGTGCTGCACACATACCACATTAACACTTAATCCTCGTTTCGATGTGATGGTTAATATTTAAATTGTGGCTTATTTTTCACTTTTCGGTTCAATCTATGTTTTGTAAATAGGAAATTGTCACTAAATAACACCACTGGAAGATTCATTAAGAGGCTCCAACACACCTGATTTGAATTAATGATTGCCAGGCTTCTGCAGAACTTGAAGAGGTGATTCAGTCAGTGAATCAGGTGTGTTAAAGCAAAAAAACATGCAAAACATTCAGGATAGTGACCCTCGAGGACCAGCCACCCTGGTCTATGTTGAGTTTATCAATCATTCATATGCATATATTGTTCTGGCTAATCACTAGAAATGCTTGTATTAGTCAAACCTCCATGTTTTGGCTTTGTGATTTCAAGTTCAAGCACTTCTACATGATGCTCAGTTTTGTTTTGACTCATCACCTTTAGACCACAGCTTGAAAAACTAAAATCAGAACGTTCTGGTCAGAGTGCGATTAAAGAAGATGGTCGCATTAAAAGCTCTCATCCATGAGCCCCAGTCAGACTGTCTGTATTCAGGAGACAGCATCTAAAGTGTATCATTAGGCATCAGGGCACTGACCTGTTCCTTCGCTTTAAGGAGGCAAGTAATGGAGAAGCTCTTTAAGATCTCTCCTCTTAGGATGAAGATGTGCAGCACGGGAGACAAACATGGGATTTAATTTCTTCTTAAATATCTTAATAGATCAGGCAGCATTTCTTATGTAAACAGAACTTGAGTGCTTCTGTTTTCTTTGTACTAAACGGGTGCCATTTGAGTTTACCTGTGGAAACATCTGAGGAAAATACTCTCACAGATATAGGTTGTATTATGAAGCAGCAATAAACTCTGCACATTTAACTCTGCAGTGTAAGAGTTTGTGTTTATTTCTTTTCTGTTTTATTTCTTTTTTCTTTCCAGTGTTTCTTTATTCTCTGTATCAGTTTAGTTCTCCTGTCTGTCTCAGCTCGGGCCCCGCCCACGCTCACCTGTTGCTCATGTTTTTCCCCAGGTGTTTCTCATTTATGTTAATTAAGATCTCTTTGTAATCTGTCTCAAGTCCCCTGTGTGTTTTTTTGACTCCTCATGTTTTTTTTTTGTTTGTAAATAAATCAGTATTTTTTTACTCCATGTACTGGCGTTTTTGGGCCTTGTGTGTATTTTACCATACACAGACCTGACA